CTGAACACCAACAGAAACTTGTGAGCACCATTGTTAAGCACCAGGACCATGTCAAGATGAAGAAGAATATGAGAAATATAAGATTGGGTTGAAAGGTAAGGCGGTGGATGGATAAAAAGGATGGATCATTGGCAATGACACTTATATCGGGTCATTTTTCTTTTTTTACATGGACACCGTGCTATCATGACCATCAAGTACAAGATGACAAGTCCAGTATCACAGCGACTACATCTATTCCACAAGAGGACACCATTAACAACACTCTCGTACACATGTACTCAAAGTGCATCACACAACAAGCTCCATCAACTCTATCTTTCACTTTGTGCATCCTTCATATCCTCATATGTAGATCCCATCCTTACATAACCATATCATGCAATCACCATAGAAATGTATATAATACATGCTGTAGTTGTAGCCGATACGGCGGTTATAAAGGATATTATTGATTCTCAACGTATTTTCGGATCGTCCCCATATCAAATATTCCAAAAGCCACTCTTTCCAGAGCTGTATTAGTGAATGCTTCTACTATTCGTAAAAATAGATTTGAGTACTGTGGGGAAATACAATGGAAATAACTAATGAAAAAAAATACAAGAAAACAAGAATCAGAAGTACAGGGAAAAAGAGACAACGAGAGCTAACAAAGTGTCTCAACATTCTTTCGATCTTTAAATAAAATTGCTTCGACATTTGAAATGTTGCAGCAATAACTTGCCGTTCAAAATTGATTCTCTTTCTAGTACATGGAAACGACCAAGCTGACAATATGACATTTATTTTACCTTGGGTATATCCATCAACATCCTTTACGCCTTGTATGATTGGATGTTTGGTAATATCTCTTTTGGCCATTTATTCATTTGCTTTTCTGATGGGGGATACAAATACTTTGTCCACTAACGATCTTTTTCTTAACAAATCGACCATCTGTGCCAGCAGACGACTCCCAGCCTCGCCACTTTCGATGCTTGACTATTTTCGCGCGTAACCCTCCATTATGTATCCTCCATCTTTTAAGCTGCTTAAAAACCGTTGAAAGCTCGGCAAGTGTTCAACAATTGTTCGAACGAAGTTCACTACCTGGTTAAGTGCACCTTATCAAATGCACTGTGTTGTTGCTGATTCAAATTTCTTTAAATGTATCACCGTCAGAAGCTACGTCGAAAGAAAGAAAATAGGCATGTGATGAGCATATGTTCCATCACACGTATATGACAATAGCTTTTTACCTGATTCAAAGAATCAAATTGTATCACTAAATATGTATTGTCCACAATGATAATGGGAGTAGGATAACAATGACAAGCAAGAGATGAGCACAATCAATCCACAGGTCAGAATTCATTCTCAGGAATAATCTCCACGATGATACACACCAAAACTTGAGCAAGCAATCAAGGGTTTATAATGGAGGAAAAAGATGCGGGAGTACGATGTTGGGCGACAACATATCCTTTTATATGTACACTGTGGGCGTGAGAGTATTTGTGGTCGCAAAGAAAGATAAAGGGGATGTTGCACGACTTGATTAATTGTATGGTCTAGGTGGATTGATTGTTCATGCATAAATCATCAAATTAGAAGAGTAGATGGTAATATCCTTCATCGTACAATGACATTTATTTGCTATCACAGTATGTTCTATATCTATCTATAACTTGCTGCTACCATAAGCACAATCGATTAGAAAGAGACATGCAATTGTTGTCAGGGTGTGACAACTTTGGCATAGGGTACCACCACTCCACATCCCATGGCTTCCGGCAAAGAGCCCGATCTCGTGATATTTGTTTTGCTGTGGAAGAGAGTCATCTCCCATTTCTGTTACCATCTCTTATTTTTGGTTATCATTTCAGTGACCATCTCTTATTTTTGTTACGAACTCAGTGACCATCTCTTAGTTTTAGTTACCATATCAGTGGCCATATTTTATTTTTTGGTGCCATCTCAGTGACCATCTGTACACCTTGTCTTTCCGTTTTCGTCTAAAATGAGATTACCACTCTTCTTTCCTACTATTATCAAAGCATGATACAACACGACGATACCACTCATTCTTTGAGTACATGGACATCCACAGATCCAACAACCAATAAATCATTATCTCATCATCATTCTATTGAACCTATTCCTCGACTTTCTGTAAGCAGCAGCACCACTAGTTCAGCTGAAAGTACAATCTCCACAACCGACAATGACGATCCTGAACAACCCCCTTCCAAACGACAACTCATTGCAGGACACGTGAAATCACTGAGCATTGCACTGTTTCGTTTCCTTTTGAAAAACAACAATTGGGCCCTTGTCGTCAATCTCTTGCACCATTTATGGGGTGCACGTAAACTTGTCATTAAGAAAACACCTCAGGCACAACGACTAGGAAGCTCGGTTGCCAAGGATGCACTGCGTGTGGTTGCTACGATGCATCTTGCTTTTGCTACTTTAACCGGCCTTGCTCTTAGACACAAGCGAGTATCCACAGACCGATCCACATTATTAGTATTGGCACTCGTTGCTCTTGGTCAAGCATGGACATACACAAGATCGTTTTGGCAATCAGGCACAAAGCTGACAGTAAAGGCATTACGACGATCCGGTATGCTCGATACTTTTGTCTTTGCTGTATCTAGTTTAGCATTCTCAAAGACACTAAGACGATCTGGTCGTTTGTTTTAACCCATCCACTTTGTAATCATATTCTTATATACCAGAAATAGCTTTATAATATTACAATAACAAAACATGCTTAAACTATAAACGCTTGGCAATGTGAGTTTCTGTAAATGGTGGTCTTGCGTGGGTTATCAATTTCACATGCTTTTGCGGAGTGAAACTACTATCTGCGTCCTTTGTCCTTGAGACACCTTGGATTGAAATTGCACACTCCACGCTCCAGTACATGAATTACGCCATAGATAGATGTCAAAATGTACATATGCAGCCATTTTCTATTCTCCTGTCTATATTTAAGCTCACTCATCAATCACGTTACCAATCCATTCACCACTCTACCAGCTTATTCATCACTTTACCGCTCAATGCACTAAATTATCAATTCATGCATCATCTTTCTTCTTAAAAATCACAGGTGCTCTCACATTCATGATGCACATATAAAAAGGATGTTGTCATCTCTTCTCTATTCTATCTCTTCTTTAATTACTTATCCTCTCAAGTTCGAGTTTATGATGTGAATGAGAGCTGATCTTTGTGTCTATTCATAGTGCTGTGTTTCATTATTATCTTACTCTCATTCTCATGGTCACCATGATCCCATTTGATTATTGTGATAGAGCAAATCCTATTGTCATGTTCACTGATATATCACATGGTCCACTTTCCATGCAGGCGCGTTTTACAAAGCTGACTCTAGCAATATAGATATTATCCTCTCAATGCTAGTTTCATATATTGATATTATAAAGAGGAGACATTTTGTTTTTGGAATAGATATCAATCTCATAGTACTTTGACGTGATGAAAAGAGGGCACCATACAATGGTGTAATGTGTCTTGCACTCATAATGGGGACAGGAAAAGAAGGGAATTGATAAAGATGAGACCTTCATTGGGATCATAATACAAGAGAATTTTGCATAGATAAGGATGGATAGTACAACTGCTAGGGCACTTTATTCTTAACGGAAGCTAAGATAATACATTCATGCTCACAGAGGAAACTACACTGATACTTTTATTATTCGAAAGCTTGTGATTTCGTCTAGGGGATAAAGAGCTGCATTCTATCCTATAAGTCCTGATTATCTTCAACCGTAGTTTTGTATCCTTGCCAAACAATAATCGTATATTCCTGAAGGTCGCGTCGACTCAACAAGCCAAGTATACATGATAGTGGAAGTAAATGTATTGAAATTCCCAGTTATGCCATTGCTATTGCTACTTGATCGTAAACTGGGATTGTGAGAAACGAGTCGAGCAGCTCCAACTGTGGCGAGTATTTATGTTGATGATAGAACAAGTGCCAGTTGTGAGATGCGGATATATCCTTGTAAACGCAATGACATGTTTCCTTCGTATTGCATGCTGAAGACCCATCGATATGTGTCCCTTGGGTTGACGATGATGGAGTGATCATTGTCCTTTGTCGAGCCTTGTACAAGTATATCCCTATCATCCAGAATTCAATCAACCCCATATCCTCTTCAATAATCCTTTCTTCAAGTAATTTTTACATGGTCATAGCCTTCTTGTGACAATAATCCTACCTTGGCATATGTCAGTTAAATGAGATCCATAATCCACACGTACAGTCTTATAGTGAATCCAATAATGAATCCACAAGGGCAACGCGTTATCATCATTCAAGTGTTGGCTGGTATATATAAAACGCGTGCTGGTGTTGATATGTGAACGAAGCAACAAGAGGTGTAGTTTTGATACCAGGTGGTAGGAAATAGCGCGATATCCACAAGTTGTACGTCCACTTGAGCAGCATGACCATGGCTAGTTTTATGGACCGCATAAGCTCGTTTACTTGCACCAGCTCATAATGTCGCCCTTGCACAATGGCGTAGGAACAAGAGATATCAGCGTAAAGCATCCATAACTAGAATGTCATTCAACAAGTATCGAAACAGCGGTCCTTCTCAGTACATTCCTTTGTCGCAATGGGGCATGCGGTGGAATCCAGCAATGCAATGCATAAAACAAGAGGTGGACAATGGCATTCGAGAATCGCAAGAGGAATGTGTACGTACTTATGCGAACTGTATAAAAGAAAAACACACGGTCATTTCCATGTGCCTTTCGGAGTGAAATTCCCCCAAAGCGCTCCCATGTTTCGGAGTAGTGCCAACTTTGAATTGAAATTACTTCCTCCGCAGCTTCCCAAACGGCTTGTTTTATGCAGAATCACATTCCATACATCTCAAGCTAAAGGTAGATATGAAGCAATCAACGGTTCCTGACCTGCTTCCATATATGGCAATTTTATCCCCTATCATGTTTCTACCACATCGAAAAAACAAGGTCTTGTGATGTAATGGTTATCATACAGGACTTTGAATCCTGTTATCCGAGTTCGATTCTCGGCAAGACCTTCATTCGACCAACAGCTTTGGGTTCCCAGCTGTTTCTTTTTCGATGCCGATTATTTTCTGTGTAACGTCGTACAATTATGCTGAACGATTATCATCTGATAGTTCAAACAAGACATGTAATGGATTTTTCTTTTTGAAAGTATTAGCCAGATACAATGGATTGTTAGCATAAAGAGCAATGAATAATACTTCAATCATACAAGTAGTAGAAATTATACAACGACTCATTAAAGCATGTTTTCAATGTTACAATAATATTTTATGATTGTACAAAAGGGCGCATGCATTGGTGGATGCTAATGCCCATGTAATGTAGCTCTATCCTCCCAAATCATATCCCATTGGTTCTGCATATTATGTTGCTCGCTTTTGACAATGAAGCATTCATGTATTGTTAGTAACAGATGCAATGATCACTTTTCTTTGTACTGTACGCTGTTCAGTATTATTATCATCTTCAATATGACATGTGGATTGTGGATTATAAAAGAGGATGTATCCCATAGCAAGCGCTTATCAAAATGATCTAGACAAACAATGATCAACGCATCAAACTTGGAAAATATACAATGAGCTATCAGAAAAATGTACTCCTTGTTCATATTTTATTGGCAATTATATTAGGGTATGATATACTGTGGACAAGGAATCTAGAATTCGGATCATGTCAGTGATTATCGGGTTGCAGCCATACTTGGTGAGTAATAACGTGACAAGATCAATGTTACTTTGTATACTGCATCGTCATCTTTGTATGATCAGGTGAGATTCCATCATTGAAAGAAATTAAATCCGAGTTGTGATACAAGATGTTGTAACTTGCAAGTGCCTGATCTACTTTCAGTGAGCGACATGGTACAGGGACCATGTCGAATACAAGTTTCCATAGTGATATGCTTTTATGATGGTGATCTTGACAATGGATGGTAGGAATAGTGGAGAAGGAAGGTACATCTTTGGTAGAATGCACGGACGTTTCATGGCAATCCACGAGTTCTTGAAAATAATGGATAGGGGCCGTTGTGTTGTGCAAGATAAACTTTCGGAAGAGGGCCGTGTAAGAAAGATCCCGTGCACAAAAGGCGAATGGGTGGGTGAACACAATAATGAAAAAGGGTCCAGAACAACAGGAGTACATGTTTCATCATGGTACTTTGAACTTTTATTTGAAAATGCGCATTTTGGCTAGTAAGAATGGTTATCAAGTTGACATTATTATCTATAGTGATGCCTTAATGATGATTGACAGTTTGAGTGGAAGTCAAAGGGGGAAGAGATGTTGGTGATAGTAAATCAGCAGAGCCAAAAGCAGCAATCCGGTAATCGGCAATTTCCGATTATGGTGTCCTGTTTGTAACCCATGACCATGAACATGACTAGTGCAGGCGTTGTTGACAAAGGAACAAGGTAAGGAATCAGGTCATTCATTTAGCATTTCTTCTTTTCTTTCTCACTTTCTCTTCATTGCAAGCAATGTCAGGTTACGACAGTGCCAACGAATATGTTAGACCCCGTCGACGATATCCTCGCAACATATCGCAGGATGATGGAGCATCAAGCGACCCATATGAATATCAGCTACAATCACCGCCACGACATCGTAAAAGCAAGAGACGAGGACATAAACAATCTGTGCGCAGTAATGTACGTCGTCGACCCTCTCGTCGTCAACAACAACCAACAGTAGCATGGCAACCAGATCATCAAGATATGGATGATGATGATGATTTTATGAATGGTTATCCATACTTGCCATTTCCATTTCCACCACCACCACCTCATCTTGTGGGTCATGATGGTTTTTATAACCATGAAGAATTCGATCCATATGAAGAAGAAGCCATGTTACATTTGGATGAAATGGGTCGTTTACCTCCACCACCACCACCACCACATCCATTTGCAGGATTTGGACCCATGATGCCTCCACCACCATTTCCACCATTCAATATGATACCACCACCGCCCGACGAATATTTCTTGGATGAAGATCCAAATGATGATCAAGATGCCATATCGGATGATGACTATAATAATCGACCCATGGCACCAGCACCTCCTTTCTTGGATGAACATGTACCACCTCCAGGGTTCTTACCTCCTTTGCCACGCTTGGGCCCATTACCACCACCCATCCCATTTGTAGACCATAACTTGGTACGACCAAAACGATCACGATCATTACCAGCACGTAAATCAAGAATACCATCCAAAGCATCTGAAATATTGCATAGAAACAATAGCAATAATAGTCGGGTCCATCGGAAACGACATCCGTCATTGCATCGAAGAAACTCAGTGTCATCATCACCAGGTGCACGTCGGAGTACACAACAGCACGAGCCATTGCCACACCATGCTGCAAGTGCGCCAGGATCACCTGTGGAACTTTATTCACCCAGTATGGATGATCAATTTCATGATGCACTTTCTCATCAAGAAGAAGATCAACATTCACCTCATCGACATCCTATTCCACGTAGACGTTCAATTCATGTGATTCCTTCCATGACACCTCATCCACCACCACCACCACCTCATCCTATAACCATGTTGGGAAGACGACATTCAGTTTATGATGCTGGTGGTAATAATGAAATGTTTCCACCACAACCATTACCTCCACCACCTCCTATGGCACCTTTGGCAGCAATGGGATTACGACATGATATGGGTGATGAAGTACCAAGCAATAATAGTAGTGCACCAGGTACACCTTGGATGCCAGCATCTTATTTCTCAAGTCCTGCAATGCCTCCTGCACCTCATACACAACCCCCCATGATGCCACCACCTTCTGGAACAACTGCACAAGCTGGCATGGGAATGTTACCATCTACATTTGGTCCTCCAATGAATCCATTCATGATGGGTAGACCACCTTTACCTCCTATGCCAATGATGTCCATGATGGGTGGTGCTGGTAATAATTTACCAGGTATGCTTGATGATGGTGATGGATTTCCTCCTATTGGTGGTGGTGGCGGTATGAATCCCATGATGGGTGGTCCAATGATGGGTGAAAATATGATGGGTCAAGGCGCTTTTGGAGGTGGTCCATCATCCATGCATGGTGGCAATCCAATGAATTCAATGCAACATGGTGGTAATCAGCATATGAAGGATCGTGATATGCAAGGTGGTGGTGGTGGTGGTGGTGGCGATTTTGATATGGGAGGACCTCCTTCAAATTCAAGAGCCAATTCATCCATGGGACATCATCATCATCATCATTCTGAAAGTGGTGCTCATCCTGGTATGTCAAGTAATCATCATGGTGGATCAATGATGCCTTCTTCATCCATGATGGGAAATAATAACTCTGGTGGTGGATCCATGATGCCACCTCCTCCACAGCATCATATGATGATGGGACCCATGGGACCTGGTAGTGGTGGTCGACCCCCTATGCGAAGAAAATCATGGCTTGGTGGTCTTTTTGGTGGTGGAGAAGGTTCAAAAGCAGCAATGATGGATCGACATATGTGGGATCGTAACAGTATGGTTCCTTTGGAAGATGCACTGGGACATATGTCGCTAGGTCCATCCAATGGCGAATCTCCCTCATCCATGCGATCCTTTGGTAGTGGACTTTCTCGTAAGAGCAGCAACAAGATTTCTAACAAGGCACAACAATTACAGCGTTTCCCTGGCATTTGGTGTTATCGACCAAGGAATATGATGATGCATCAAGGTGCTGGTGGTGATGAAGAAAATGGCGGTGGAAATGTATGGGCTCCTTTTAGTGTCAATAATCAACGCAAGCTACATCGTATGATCGACATGGGTGCTGGTCATCTACCATCTTCGACTATCAGTCTCGATCGAGAAGAAAAGCTATCCGGCACCATTCATCTATGTCCTCGTAACATGATTGCTTATCACTTTCGATCACTCTTATCAGGACGTCCTGAAATACTCGATGTTCAATATATTCCCACCCATGATAGTCAATTTGTTGTTCGTCCAGAACATGACATGGCAGCTGGTGCTGGTGGTCGTCCTCCTCCTCCTGCAGGCCCAGGAATGGCATCAAAGTTAATTGGCTCCATGTTTGGCCCATGATATATATAGCACACGTACATCTTTATCAAATAAACTATCCACACTCACATTGTTGTATATGTAATGATTACTGATACGGATATGGCTCGTTTGCCATTATTACATCATCTCCGAAGAATGTGCTTTGGGATGATACTCTAACAAAATAGTGCTGTCAGCCATGCAACGTTAAACCGCTATTGTGCCGTATATTCTTGTATTCAGTTTTGATTGAGAACAGCTGTGATAGCCAGCTTTAAAACCATTGTAAATAAACCAGTACCATGTTGCATTCATGCAGCAGGGGTCCAATTGATAACAGATTAGCTAGCTATCAGTAGATTAGCAAGTATCATATTATTAATAGACAACAACAGCACATAATGCCAATGTTATCAATGAGAATGAATATGCAATAGCATTAGATTAATTGTCATTGACTTGGGATCATAGTTTGTACATGTATTCATGTACTGTTTCAATCATGTCAATGCAGTTTCAACGCAAAGCAACATTTGGAAATTCGGATAAAGTATGCACGGACATCACCTTGAAAGGGAAGTTATTCCAATAATCATTATTATAAACGATAGGTGCATCAGGCTTGTTGATCTACATCTTTTTTATTCTCTACTATCATTGCTTATACTTGGTCTTCGGTCGAATTCAACTAAAATGGTTACTACTAGAAGACATGACAAACTTCGAATCGAGACCCTACTTTCGCCAACAGAAGAAAATGGCGGGCTTCCGTTCCTGCATCTGCCACCACTTGAAACACCCAACATTAACGGGATCACAAATAATGCCACGTTGATTCATCAACAGGATACAACAAGAGCAAACAAGCTTCCATCTACTTTCTTCCCATTCACTTGTCTTTCTAGTTTTTTGTTGTTCAAAAAACATGCTAAAGCAAAACGCAAGAGAGCAAGTCCATGGCAAATTCGTATACT